TGTTTTGGTGGGAATCATTTAAGATCAAGACTGGGATAAAAGAGAGGGGCAGAGTGGTCACTCACTCTGCTACTGCCCTGGTACTGTGGAGGATTCCAGAAATGCCAAATGTCTCATTCATCAGCATTCAGAAAACCCAGACAAAGCCACCTGATTGCAGAAGTGCAGTATGGAAAAATAGTTGTTTCATGGACATTGCTTTTGTTTTCCAGAGGAGCCTTTTACTGAGGAACTGTGATTGCAGAATGCTTTGTCTACAGCTTTAGGTTGGTGCCGAGCTGGAGAAGGGGCGAAGGAGGGGTCATTCTTGCGTGGCTCTGGTGCTGCCCAGCAACCTGGTTACACCATCAAGGAAGAACCAGCCTGTTTAACAAGTGCTAGGAGAGAACTTGTTTTTAGAGAGAAGCAGCATGTGGGTAGATTTGAATGGTCAGGGAGTTATTGAAACTTGGCTGGAAGAGGTTGATGTAATCATTGTTCCCAGTGTGCTGAAAGGGTTGGAGCCAACTAGAGAAGATTTAGCACGGGACATGGTTTCTAGATGTTGAAAGTAGAGCTTCAGCTCAGATGGAGGAGACAGGGATGTACCAGAAGATTTTATATGTTAGCCTTAGATAAAAACTGAAGTCACAATATTATTCTTTTTAAAAATGTATTTTTAATTCTTCTGGTCTGTTTTCTTCCACTATGGAAATAATTTGGGGGTGCTGTACTCCTAGGCAGGATACCTGCAGCTTTGGTTGCAGGATCTTGCTTATTCTTTTCCCCTCGTTCCCATCTGCCCTCTGGATTTGAGTGTGAGCATAATGCGAGCTGAAAAAGAAACTCTCTGAAATGGGAGCTGGCGTTTACGAGGGGAATTGCATTCAAATGATACTGCAGCCACTGAAAATGGTGTTTGCGTTGCTTTACTTTGTGACATTTGGGACTAAAATAATCCAAAAGGAGGGCTGAGGGAGGGAGAAGAAGGAACACTAGCCACGATGTCGGTTAAGTCCGAGGAACTGTAGGTAAAAGAGCCAGTTGGGTGCTAACCCAAGCCATCGTATTGCACCCATCAGCAAGTCCAGTGCTCCCTCTCGTGGCAGATTCTGACCAGTAAATCCATTGTAACTCACGCCTGTTAGTAGCAAAACATGCTTATGCTTCGCTATGAGAAGTATCTGGCATCCAACTATTTTAATGCTACTTCGTACCAAGCTTAATAGACTTATAAACACAGATAGCACTGAATTCTTTTTTTATTGACATTGGGGGAGAAAAATCTTTCACCATCTGATTGACTGAAGTTTGCCAAATGAAAATAGACAAAACAAATGTTTATGTACGTGCAAACATTGCAGATCAAACTGCTAAAAGAAATAACTAAAAGACAGGTCTTGAGCTAAGATCAAGCAGCAGAAAAATAGCAAATAGGTAAATGACTATTAAGTAGGTCTTACTTTGAAACTTCCCATTTAAACAAAGAATAAACAACAATAACACCACCAAATAAAGCCACAGCAGGTAATAGTTGCTCTTCTAAACTTTTTTACACTATGTATTAATCACTCTGTCTTTCAGTTATTTCCTCTGATAAAACTGACTTCTGCGAAGTCTCAGCAAGGCCATCTTGGCTAAAAGCATAACGTTAGATAGGAGCCTGTCTAATGCCCTGTTATAATGAAGAAATGGTGGGGTTTGGCTTCTCTTTTCTTTCATTCTTTGTTGAATATATCTGTAAACAAGAATCTGATTCTATGCGAATATTAGATTTAATTTTCCAATGCTGGCTGGTGTCTGAAGATCCTGGAACGAAAAGGTGGCTCTTGGTAAAGCAAGATTCTTCTTGGTCCACAGGTAACATAGAAGAAAGTTTTTGTTTTTTGTATAAATCATGTTTTATTAAATTGCTTTTTTTTTTTTTTTGTAAACAGTTCTTCTGGGTTTATTTGTCAAGAGGTGAGCCATCATGGTGCTTCTCTACAGATATCTGACATTTCCCTTTTGTCTTTAGAGGTCCATTTTGGCTCCAGTTCCAGGTTATGTCATTCTATTATACATCATCAGAGGCAGGTGTTCAACTTTAAATATTGACAGATTTTTTTCAGTAGGAACATGTTGAAGCTTCTAACTCTGCTAAACATATTCATTTGACTGTTACAATCCAAAAACTGTAAAAATGGTGGAATGGAAAGATACAAACAGTATTATTGACACTGTATTGTCAAATGTTTGCACTGAGACCCCATGTACCATAGATTTTATTTTTAAAAAATCATATTTATATCCATTTACATAAGACTTACACATTTTAAAAGAAATACATACACAGTAAATACGTAAATGTCTAGTATTTTACAATAAAACAGATGGAACAATGTAAAAATGAGTGACTTCATTTGA